CATTTATTGAGCATTCAATTGTCTGTTACACGATAAGCGTACAGAACCCCAGACCGACATATCATGTTCTCTCGCACTTACACTTCTTTGCTCTTAAGTTTGTATTCTTATGCTTGATTGAGTCGGTTAATTGCACAATAGGCTTGCATCAAGTATTTTTCGATTATACAGTATTATAGTCATAAATAAATTACGTCTCACCTGGCGATCGTGCGAAACTTTCTTCAATCGTTCAGCGAAACATTGAAACACACAGCGCCGGGCCGAGCCCAAGCATTAAAAAGTTCGCTTCAATGCGCAAATCTAAAAAAATTCTCTTTTAAAATCGCAAAAAATCAAAATGAACGCGTACTGCAAAGCTTAGAAAACGTAGATGTTCAAGTTGTTCAAGTTGGGCACAAGCGTTTAGAAACCGTTTTCCTTTTAAACGCAACTTTTCTTTCAGTTGAACTTTTGCCAAACAAAATACATATATGTGGATAATGAATAATAAAAGCGATGAGAAGAAGGACTAAAAGGCTGTTAACGAGCAAATGACAATTTAAGAGCAAAAAAATAAATAAATAGAACATTAAATGGAAAACATGCAGTGGGTGAATGATGAGCACACGGCAAACATATAAACGAGAAATAGTTAATAGATAATGGACAACGGGCAATAAACACCTACACAAGGCGATATCATCCATCAGATGATGTATGCGCATGTGGTTCGAACGAATTGTAAATAGTGCCGAGGACAGACAAGGGGAAAAAAGAGATCAGTAATTTTTTAAAATTAAATTAATGAATGTTTTCGAAGGGATAAAAAAATAGAATTAGAGGTATTTAAGTTGCGCTATAAGGATATTATAGAACAGCTCATAAACGGTCTCAGGCTTTAATAGATAAAATTGATTAACACTAAACGCGATCCCACTTCATGCATACGTACTCTAACCGTGGACGGATTGAACGGTCCCACCTAAATAAAGTATGCGTCACTTAATATAGGTTGGATTGTGAAACGGAACGTGATCGTATTTGTGATCGTATAAAAATGAGGCAGTTCAGTGTTAAGACCGTCGGTCGGTCGTTCTCAAGCCAACTCCCTACATTATTGCACACAAATTAACACAATAAATAAATTAACTATTTAGACTAACTATCCGCGGTAAACAACGTTCAGTTCAGTCCTTATCTGCTTTCAACTTTACAAATGTATTTACAAACAATTTTTCAGCTAATAAGTATTAATCTGCTTTTAAAGCTTTCGCCGTAAATTTTTTACGACATTCGTTATAATATTTATCGCTCATTACTTGTTTATTGAATTTTTGTTTTTTGTTTTTTGTTTTTTCCCTCTATCCCTTTCATTTGCACATTACTCAATAAGGTTACAGAATGGCATAGAGTTTTACGATGACTTTCGAGGAGTCCATAAGCTTTTTAGATGCCAGCAACCTTCACGAAAACAACTGCAACTTGTAAACTAATGTTATATGACTTAATGTATTTTCTTGTCTCCATTTCTTTTCAACTACCGAAAATCATAAAATGAAACCGTTATAACGAATGTTAATATAAAAAAAATAAAAAAATTATATGCGAATCGCTTTGTACACTGTGTCCTCTGAGGAACAGTATAAAGAACGAAGCGAGAAAAGGAAATTTTTGCTTCGATTCCCTCTTCGTTATCTCTTCGTGCATTTCGTTAATATTTATTTTCTATGCTTATTATTATGTGCCCGATCCCTAGACGTGAAAACTATACAGTTTCTCTTTTCACTTGTTATCAATTTTGGTATTCCGAAGGAACACGCACTAGGAATTATTTCAATATCAATTTTGCTATAGAAGCCATTGATCAAGTGATGAAAACCAATGCCTTGTGACGTTAACGTAAATTGCATAAGACTCTCACTATTACTCACTATTATGTTTTTTTTTTTGCGCTTTCGTCTTCACTATGTGCAACAAAATATATCGGATAAATCACTTCCTCACATCACTTACATGTATAGATGTATGTGCAAGACAAGTCCTGTACAGAGATCAATTAAAAGACTTATCCACCGATTAAGTCCTTCAACAACATCATAAGACTTTCTCACCCTGCCGTGTTGGAATCGTCGTACGACACGCTAACCCGGCTCCCCATCCAAATCAAATGTACAGAAACACTACTACTGCCTCCTTCCATCTTGCTACACGTATAATTCTTCCTGAACACGCGTGGCCCGTCATATATATATATATATATATATATATATATATATATAAAAAACTTGATGCTATCATTTAATGCATCTTTTCAATATCATTACATTCAATATTTACTAGACATACACACAGTTATCGATAACCAGAGACTTTCCTACACGATAAACTAATTTAAGCTAAATGACAGCCTTTCTTATCTAACCTGAAATACATTTTAATCAGTGCGACATATTTTCATTTACTTAAACGATACGTACAATGAAAATTTAAATTTAAATGTTTGCTGGTTAAACTTACCAAACTGGCCCAAATAGGAATTTAGTCAGCAATTGAATGGCGCAAGTCAAGTTTCAAAGGGAAAATCACTCGTCCACTGTAGCTTGAAACGGAAGAACCGCACAAACCTTAAATATTTTCTTTTCAATAAGAGCCCGCCTGCACGACAAACAAGTGCTCACATCGAGACCACGTACCAGCAAAGATGCTTCTAATCGACAAAGTGTTGCAAGAGGAAGCAAATTAAATATTTGATATCCAATATATTGTCAGCTTTTTTGCCTCATTTCTCTGCCTTAGTTACATATATAAGTAAAAGAGCATCTCTTTAGGCTGGCGTAGTTCATTAACGGCAATCGTTTTCAAGTGCAATAAAATAAAAAAACATATATATAAAAGAATATATTAAATATGAACAGGAATAAAAAATGAAAGTAAATAAAAAAAAAATTTATCTAAAAATTTGTAAAAACATTTGTGTTTTAAAAATATTTTTCAAAACTAAAAATATACATATATAGTTTTTCTTTATTTACTTTTTAGACGAGATGCAACTGCTCCGAGGAATATGTTAGCACTAACACCTGTTTTGGCAAAAACAATAAATAAATGAATAAATAGATAAATAAAACAGCAAATAAATGAAAATAAAAAATAGTTAGTTGATGGACAAACTAAAAATCCAGATATTAAGTGAAAAACAAATATGTAGAGAATTTTTATATAAAAATGTTTAAATTTCATAAAAAACATATAAATAAATAACAAATTCGAAAATACGTATATATGTACATATATACGCACACATATATGTATATATATATATAGATGTATATATATATATATATATATATGTATATGTATCCTCCTGATGGTATTTAATGAAATGTAAATTTTGAAAAAGTTTTACCGAAAAGGAAACAAAACAAGAAAAGCAAAAAAAAAGAAAAAAAAAACAAAACAAAACAAAACAAAAACAAAGATCTAATAAATATTCAACAAAGTGCATAAAATAGTAAAAGAAACAAAAATAAATCATCATCAACAATCAAATAAAAACCTGCACCGCTTCAAACTCATTAACATTTTATGTGAATAACAGCAACAGCAACAGC